GTTTCCCCTCCCCCGGCCAGATCCCAAACCCTTCCCAAAAAAAGTGGGGTGGCCCAAAGAACCAGGATTTTTTGGGGGGGGCGCGCCGGGATTCTTTTAGCGTGGGGGGTGGTGGGTGTCTTTCTCCTCCTCCCCCCCTTCTTCCTCTTGGAGGTTGCATTTTTTTTTCCTCAATTGCAACACGGGCAACCGGTGCCAAACCTGATCTCCCGGACCCCGGGGGGTGGTGGTGGTGGTGGTGGGTGGTCTCTCTCGAGGATGATGGGGTGCTCCGTGCGCCCCCCCTTACCTTGGCTGATGGCCGGGGGGGCCGAGGGCGCCAGCAGCACCAGCGACATGGGGCGAGGAAGGGGGGGGAGCCCGCCGCCGCGCAAGCCTGCGCGGATCCTGCGCTCCCCTCTGCCTCTGCGCGCTTCTCTCTCTGTGTCTCGTGTGTGTGTGCGCGCCCTCGCCTCTCTCTCTGCCTGTCTTTCTTCCAGGAGACTTTAAGGGTTGTTTACTGCCCTAGAGAGGCACACACACACACACACACACATACTCCGCAAATATGGCCGCGTCACATATAGACAAGAGACAAGGGGGGGGAGGTTTGAGAGAAGAAAATAAATATATATATATATATAGAGGGAGAGAGATGTCTGCGTGCGTGTGTTGAAAGATTGCCACCCTTTTTTTCCCCTCCTCCTCCCCGCGCAGGAGATCCTCCAGACATCCTTAGGAAAGAGGAGGAGGAGGCTGGAGGGATGGGAGGATTGAGAGTTTTAGAAAAAAAAGGAAGGAAGTGGAGGCCAAAAGTTGAAAGATCTGCACACACACACACCCCCGGCACTTCTGTCGCCCTCCAGCTGACTGGGGGAAATAGGCAGGCTGTGTGGGTTTTTTTTCCCCCTTCCCACAGATTTTTGTGCAATCCTTAGGACGGGTGGGAGAGGTTTGGCAAATGAGGTTGGAGGATTTTTTAAATTTTAAGCTGGGGAAAAAAAATACACGCACCCCGAAGTTTGTGGGAGAAAAGTTGGATTGGCAGCGGTTTTGTTAGGCAACGAAGGGGGTGCCTACCGGGGTGTGATTTTATTGCTTTCCAGGGCCAGGTGAAGTTCGTTCATTCATTCATTCATTCATTCATTCATTCATTCATTCATTTCTATCCCATCTTTCTCCCCAAAAGGACCCGGAGGAGTTTGAAAAGATTAGGGATTTGTTTGGAAAGTTTTGGGGGTTAATTATAAGTAAAAGCAGTCCATTGTAATTTGACAGGCCGGCAGGGCTTTCAAAAGAGGGGATAAATAGAGCAGCCTAGAAATAAAAATGACATTTGCTACTTGTGTGGGTGGTACCAAATGCTTCGCTTTTTAAGTCTTGGAACCTTTTGTTTCTCTGGAGATGATCTTATTTTATTTTCTAGCATATTATGTGGGTTTTAATTTTTTTTTTTAAACTAAGTAAAACCGGCGATTACCATAGATGTTAATTTCTGTAATTAATTAAACATGACATACATGTCATCACATAGGGTTGATTTTTCAGTTTTTGATGCTTTTAGGTGCATCACAAGTTAGTGGTTGCCAAGTTTCCTCGGCTGCTTAACAGATTCGAAAAACGATCAGCAGCCCATATGCGGGATTGACTTGGGAGCAATACAATCATTTTTAATCCCAGCATTGACAAAAATGTCAGATGGTGGGGAGCATCTTAGAAGAGGCATCCCACACTTCTGGAAAAATGCCTTCTCCAGCTTGGGATTTTTCAGATTGCACCCCAAGTTCATGGATGAAAACTATGGGAATGTGGAATAGCGGGTAGAATGATGGAATGGGATGCAGGGAACCTGGGTTCGAATTCTGGCTCAGCCACGGCAAATCACAGATGGGAGAAATAATGAAACCACTCCTTAAATAATTACCTCAAAAAAATAAAAACAAACCCAAACTACAGTATTAAGGTCATGAGAAATTGGTTTATACTTAACATCACGTAAGACATTAAAAGCACCAGGCTATGGCAGGGCTCATATGAGTGCATGCCTTACAAACAGATAAAAGTTGAGGAACCATTTTTGCCTAAAATACAGATTAACATAAACTGAACTGCTGTGTGAATCAGCCAAGATTTCCGGTGGGATGATGTCTCTATTCACAATTGCATTCAGCAACTGGACCTAGGGATTGTTTAAACACCTCAAAATGTTTCAACTTAGGGTCCTTGCCTTGCTAAAGGGATCTTAGTTATTTACCCAAACGAACTTTAATCTCGTAAATCTGTCTTTGCCTATGAATAAAAAAACTTTTTTTTTGGTGGCAAGAAATGTCTTCTCAGCAAGAATCCTCTTAGAAAAGAGCGCCTCTTCTGAAGGCATAGCGGCCATCTTTAATAAGCACCACTGTTGCTTATTAAAACAGGCCTGATCCCACCGTCACCTGTGTTCTTGTCAATAAGCACTTTTTAATTATTATTTGGCTATTTAACAGATATTTCCAGAGCTTCCTAGAGTCTCTTGTGGGCGTGTGGGGAGACAAGCACCTTGTGTTTCCGGTTCTGCCGTGAGGCAAAGTGAGGCGGCTACCTCAGGCAGCTGGTTTTGCGGGTCATGAAAAGGCAGCCCGTCAGCCGTGTTATTCCCCTTTGCCATTTAAAAAAAAAAGTCCTTTTTGACTTCCAAAGAATATGGAGGGGCGTCTGGTGGAAAATATCTGCCTTCGTTGCTACAACAACTAGTGGGCGGCCTTTAGGGAACATGGAGGAGAGGCGCTCCTGATGTTCCTTCAGAGCAGAAAGGAAAAGATGAGGGAGTGGTTGGAGATTTTCCAATATTTTCATGCAGGTGGGAGGGAAGTCACTGGATAGGACTGTGGTATCCAGATTTTTCCAGGATCCTGGCCGGGAACCGTACTGGCCGAGGCCTTTTGAGAGCTCAATCAATCCTACTGGCCGAGGCCTTTTGAGAGCTCAACTAATCAATCACACAATCAATCAATCAATGCCAATGTTCTGTCAATCAATCAATCAATCAATCAATCAATCAATCAATCAATCAATGCCATGTTCTGAGGGAAATACAACCACCACCCCCAGTCATAGCTGTATCTATCTATTTTCCCTCATCCACTCCTACAGAATTTGTGCTTACTCTTCGAATGGGATTTCACTGGAGGAAGTCATAGCTCCATCTATCTATTTTCCCTCATCTACTCCTACAGAATTTGTGGTTACTCTTCGAATGGGATTTCACTGGAGGAGATCTTGCCATGGCCAGCCCTACCATTGGGCAGACTGAGGCAGCCCTCATGGTTTGCTGATCTTGTTGTGCTTGGGGGAAACCAGTTGATTGTGATGATGGTTTAAGAGTGATAGGAAGGTCGGTGTCCATCTATCTATTTTCCCTCATCTACTCCTACAGAATTTGTGGTTACTCTTCGAATGGGATTTCACTGGAGGAGATCTTGCCATGGCCAGCCCTACCATTGGGCAGACTGAGGCAGCCCTCATGGTTTGCTGATCTTGTTGTGCTTGGGGGAAACCAGTTGATTGTGATGATGGTTTAAGAGTGATAGGAAGGTCGGTGACATCATCCTAACTCAGGGATCACATGTTTAGGGGGGCTTCAGAGAAGACGCACCATCGTTTCGGCTGAAGGGTGGGGAGAAGGGCGCCATTTTGTTGCTCTCCCTCTGGGAACAAAATGTGCCGGGCTGGCCTCAGGGGCCAACTGTCCAACAGCAGATGGAGGACCAAGTTGCCCTCCAGGTGAACGGACAAAAGAGTAACACCCTTCAATAAAGGTGTTTCCTAACGAATTCCAGAACCTTCCTTTGGATTGAAAGGGCTGTCGCTGTGGCCGGCCAAACCCCGTTGGGTTGCCTCAGGGTTGAAACGTCACTTGCTTTGGTCTCGTGAAAAGGCATCCATTTTGTAGAAGATTCAAAGAAATAAACCACCCCCAGTTGTTGTAGATACTACTACTAAACTAGATTTACTCGGTGTAAGGCAGCTTCTTAGGATAATTCAGGATGGATAATTTTATTTTGGGAAGCAAAAGGCTTTGTGCTGTGGCAATAATGCCCAGACACCAGGGGCATTTTAGTGTCAATTGCCCTGGATAGTCTCATTTCCATGGTGGGGTATATATAAACAATGAAATGGGTGAGAAAAATTGATTTCACAAGCTTTTCTGCCAACGTGTAGTTGGGTTCTTAATTCATGTAGCACTGTAAGTGCTAAAATGAAAGTTTCTGTAGCCATTCTTATGTTTCGAGTTTGTCCAAGAAACTGCACAAACATCAGCGCTCTGTACATTGACCTCGTTTTTCCTGTCTTGTCATGTATAAAATCTGACGTTTTATGCCGGAAGATGGCTTCGGAATCAATGCTAGACAGGCCCATCTCGGTCATTTCAGAAAGAACGTATTTTTAATACTTTTCCTGGTTGCATTGTAAATGCAGCTCCATTTACGAATCATTGCATCATTCGACCGGGGACACAACCCCCTCCCTCCCATGGTTTCCAGCACAGCATCCTTTTGAGCATTTCATGGACCGTCGGCCCTTTCTAGATTAGAAGATAACAGCTCACCTGCCAAAAAAATAATAATAATAAACCACCCTGGGACCCATGTTTCTACCCCCCACTCCACAAAAATGGGGATGGTGGTTCTGGGAGTGTCAGAGCAGCTCTCTGGAGAGAGAGGGATGCATGCTTTGCTTCTCAAAAGACACCCCCTCCAAACCTCCGGCTTCTCCAGGTCACGCTGGAGAAGAATTCGACCTGAAATTTTGAGAAATCAAGACCCAACGGTCCAGTTCAGTATAAAGCGGCTGCTGTGACTCACAGTCAAGGCACGGCTGCCCAGAAACACCCACTTTTTACAGCCACCTGTTTCGGATGGGTGCACCCCAGAGAATAACTTATAATTATTAACCGCTTTTTCAGAGACGGGGGAGTCTGGATCCCACACATCGGCAGGGTATAGGCTTCTCGTTCAAGCTACCTCGCTCCAGCGCAGTTGGGCGAAAGTCAACGCCTGCCATAACCGGCCAATGGAACACAACATGGCCGCGAAGCTCTGCACGGTTTGCAGGTCAACCAACATTACGTGCAAACCTTCCATTCCTCTACGATGGCCACCTTTCTAGGTCTAGTTCATATAGTTTTAAATCACTCACAACACCCACACATATACAGTATCTACTCTTTCCTTGCTCTTCTCTTCTACCGGCCGCAATCCTACTCATGACACATGAGCAGCGTTCAGTCCAATGGGGCAGGTCTCAGCAGCAAAGTTCTGCTAGGTAAGGAGTTGATGGTGGTGCTCCATGGTTGCGTACCAGCTGTGTGTAGGAAGAAACACAAAACGACAACTTGGCCAACAGTGCCTATTGGTTGAACAGGGATGTGCAAAAGGGTTTTTTGGGGGGCATCTCTCTTTTGCTGCTCCATGGAGAATGGCACATGAAGGAGCGGCTCCTTGTGAGCAGGACAGCCATTCCTTGACATGCGCTTTGGCTAGCTGGCACAAGACCCAGCAAGCATGGATTGTGGGTGTCGTAGTCCAAACAGCTGAAGCCCTGAGGTAGGCTGTGTATGGCACCATACTCTTCCGAGCCCTTCCCTCCTAACACTTTTCTCTCTCCTCTTCTTGTGTTGGGATGTTTCCTAAGCTTGTCTTTTAAAATCCAAAGTTGTCAAGAAAAGGTTGCTAGGATTGAAACTGGCGGACTGAAAACACGACACATTGCTTGTTAGAACAATAAGGTTTTTTTTTTTCCTTTTTTAAATTTGACACCTGCAAGATGTCTGCTACCTTGCAGTTTTTTGTGGACAGGTTTATACAATCTCAATTTTTTTAATAGTGCAACCTGTGCAAGCAAGAAGAAAAATGACAAACACTGTCCCTCACTTCTTTATAAACATCTACTATTATAGGCAAAACAAAACTTATCCATATTCTTAGATAAGTGACTATTCACATTTTGTACATTTACAATTTTAAACAGCTCCAGGATAAACTCTACAATGTCTTACAACATAAACAAAAAAAATATTCAAGTGATGGGGCAACGGAAAAATTCAACCCAGCACATATATCAGGATCCTCACGTGCTGCTCCTGCCCTCCCCTCCCCCACAGTCTAATTTACAGCTCAAGTAAGGTACAGTAATCAGTAACCCCCTGCAAAAAAAAAACTTAAAAAAAAAAGAGATGTAACATGAAATGGAAGTAAATTCACACATGAGTTTCCAGAAACCTTACTGGATAAAAGGGAATATCCGGAAAGAGAAAGAAAACAAGGCCTTTTTAAAGCCATTTCTTGCAGCAACGCAGTAGGAACACCATGAACACATTTCTTTTTAAAAGTAATTTTAAAAATCTAAGATGTCTCCCATCACACACCCACAAAAATATGCTGTCGATTCAAATTCATATATAGCTTCCAAGAGAAAGCCAGAAAATCCAATCCATGTGAATTTTAATGTTGCACTTAGATTGCATTTCTCCCTCTCACCAATTTCTTTGTGTGAAAAAAAAATCTCACTCATGCCTGATCTGAAGACATGCACTGCCTAAACCGAAATGGGGGAACAATCCTGAAAATGCTAGGTTTGCACACTTCTAGATCCTCATGTTGGTTTTTAAAATAAATGTACTCTCTTTTTTAACAGGCTGAGACCTTTGTTGCCACCAGTATTTTATATATATATATATATATAGTCTCTATATATGAACTCAAAAATACATGCATCTGAGGAACTTCCCCCCACAGCAATGGCACCGATGTGCTGCATTTAACCCTGAGCACTGTAATGACAAGGTGAACGGACAGCTTGGCTGGGAATTTACAAGCCTCTTCCAATGCAAATGTTGTAGCTTGAGAAGGACGAAGAAAGAAAAAAAAACACCTGTAAAAAGAAGCACTACAAAGAGTACGGAGGAATTTTAAAAAAAGGACGCATGGACCACTGTAAAAGCAGTGTTTGGCTTTCAGTTTGACCACCCTTCCGGTTGCCTTTTCTGCACAGTTCTAAGAGAGAGTGTGATGGAACTGAAAAATTATTTCTTTGGAATCTGTCCCTGATACTTTTTTTTCCAAAAAGAAAAAGAAAAATGCAACGAGAACGCTTTTTTTTACAGCCAAATACCAAAGACTCTCTGTCTCATGCATTGTTGAAGTTTGAAATGCTCTGTGGGTGATGCTGCTGCCAGATCTGTTGCTGTTGCACCGCCAATTGCTGGGACTGGTCTGAGGTCGACAAGAGGTTGACCAGGGGAGACACGCAGTTTGCAGGAATGATCAAGCCTGCAAGAGAAATGAAGGTGGTGACTTACTACACAGGTAACCATACCCAAAGAAGAACCTGTACTGTTTTATCTGGATTCCAATTTTTAAACCTTCCCCTCATCACCCCAGGTAACACACCAAGAGTGGGTATCGCCAGCTTCAACTCAGAAGGGGTCCTGACACCTCAAGTGACTGTGGTAGGAGGTGCACAGGAAGGAAACTTGCTCTCCTAATTTTACTATTGACTTTTTAAAAAAGATCCCTGTTTCTTCTGGGACAGGTGATATCCTTTCCAGGGATTGGCTCCCACAAATACAATTTGACCTCTCTACATCACAGCATGCCTCATTTTGGTGTCGAAGGATGATGTGGAGCAGCCTAAGCGGCACCAAATGGGTGTCTGTTTCCACTTTCACAAGCCGGACCCTTGCTTTTTTTCCAAGCAAGGTGCTTCCAAGGAAAACAAGCGACAGCCTTGGAGAAAAAAAGACAGTGCAAAGCGCAGGAAGGTGGGCAGGGCTTTTCAAAACAGGTCAAAGCCCCATTAAGAGGGTGGCACCAGCTGCACCGTTTTAAGGCTCTTGGCCAAAAGATCTCATACGTTCAGATTGGCTCACCGACAATCCTCTGTCCATCTTCTGTCCTTAGCCGAACAATCTGCATTTTAACATTTGTACCGCTCACTGAGGCCAAAACTCCTTCAACCTTCGTCCAGACACTCAGGACTGAACCGCACAGGACATAGTAAGTCCGACAGCGCAAGCCGACTTCACACACCAGCCCCAGGCTTGCTTTTTTACAGTTGCCTCTCCTGAAAGAGACAGGGGTGACCGACGTATGAACAGACATGCTTTCCTTAAAAACCAAACCCAACCCTAAACTAGGTTTGTTCTCTGCAAAGAATAAAACACACAGATATTTTTGCATGAAGAAAATGCCAGCATGGACGGTCTTCCTTAGGCGTTCTAAGAGAAGAACACCTCCTTCCGCACTAAGAGAGCATCAAGTTGTTGCTCTGGTACTCAAGTCAAAAGAGAACGAGGACAAAACTTGACCTACGTGGTCAGTTATTTCTCAGACTCCAATGCATCTATGTGCCACGTTTGGTTTTTCTTGCACTGCAGACAAGGCAAAGCTGCATTCTTTCTCCTGCTGATGCATCCTTCTCATAGAGTAAGACCCCCAACCGCATGATCAATTTATGCTGATTAATTGATCCGCTACCGAAAAATACTAAATGAAAAATCCCAGTAGTATGTATTTACACTTATTTCCAAAGGGTATTTACAAGAACCGAGCCAGAGACCAACTTCAATACTTCTGCGTTTTTTGGCATCCAGGGCTTGGAAATGATACCCCGCGGATACTGTGGTCCTCCTGTATGCGCCCATAAGAAGTTTCCCCAGGAATTCTTGAGAAAACCAATACATGTGGTGTTCCTACATTACATCACTGTTTCAATACCAGTTGAAAAACATACCAGTAAGCGTGGGTGCACGTGTCTGCAGATGATGTGTACTGTTCTAGCCAGTGAGGCAGAGCATCATCAGAAGGTACCTGATAATAAAATAAATGTTAGAGAAGAGCTACAATCAAGAGCTCCCTACAGCTCCATTCAGACAATTGAGTCTGTGTGGATCTAGCCCTACAGATGATCAGTTTACACCGCAAACCATATTTGATGTGGGAAAACATGGTTTACAGATAAATATAAACCATCGTTTGCTGCATTTGGACTTACAGAGTCAAACACAATTTCAGTGCAATTCTCAGGCGCATATTTCATTCCCCCTTATTTCTCAAAATTATCAGCTTAGTATAAAATAAGACACGTTGATTACCATTACCTCTTTCGTATTGTTTCTATACACTTAAAAGGTCTTTAAAAAAAGAGATCAAGTAACCTTTTTATATTTTTTCTTTATTTCTGCATAGGTTTCCAGTTTTAGTTGTTTTCCGGTATTTGGTCTATAAACCAGGAGAAGCTTCTTCTTGGGGTTCACTTCCTTCACGAGGATGGCAGTCTTCTTATTATTTCGTATCTGGGAAAGAAAACCCCTGATGAAAATGTACTGTTGAAAAGTATCAATGCTTCACTTACGTCGCTCAAAGGTTGTCCATTCTAGAAGTATTTTCAACAAGAACATTTAAAACACTGGATTATTTGGGTACAAAAAAAGCTCCATTAATTTGGTGTCTACACTTAGATGGCTTTCTCCAAACAATCACCATTACATGTGCCTACAATAGTGGTAGCTGCACTTCCACAATTTTGGGTCGTTCATTCCCCCGGTCCAAATTTAATTGGGTGATTGAGCAACAGAACAGCAAATGCAATTTGTGAAAATTAACGAAGGTATGGGGGCAAGTGGGGTGGGGGATCTAGCTTCATCATCTGCTGTTTGAAAAGAATTATTCAAGCCCCTTTTTTCTTCTAATAGCGACTTTGTTGTCAGTTTTAAGTAGAGATGGGGGTATTCATATACAAACATCCCTGCACAGATGGCGAGAGCGAGGGTCCAGCCCCACAGGGCTGGACAGTCGACTCAACAATCTGCCGCTACTGTGGGCTCTGGGATCCTTCCAATGACTCTGGAGCTCGCGATTGGTGAGCCACTCTTCGACCTGGCAGGGAGGCTTGTTGTCCCGCCTCCTCCCAGGAGTGGCAAGCCAATCGCAAGCTCCGGAGTCATCAGTGAATGGACCGTCCGGCCCCATCAGGCTGGACCCTTGTTACTGCCACCTGTGCAGGGATATTTATATTTGTATACAAATACCTCCATCTCTAGTTTAAAGTAACCAAAGGTTTCCCCAAAGCTTAACCACAAATGATATGTGACAGAAAGCCAGAGACAAACCAGAACTGAGACTGCTTCAGATAGAAACTCGTGAGGAATCTTTAGGTCAATCACCATTTCCTCAGCCTCTGTTCCATGGGGATAAATAATGCCGACTTACCTGGTAAGATTGCTCTGAAGACTGAGCAGCATTTAAAATACATAAGACATACCATATAAATGTGAAGTGGAAAGTACTTAGTAAGTTAGGAAAGGAAAGATAGTTCCTCGTTTGAACTGCACTTAAAATATATAACAGAAGCCAGCTCAAAGGAGCATTAATATGAATAGCCAGAATTCAGTTCTGCTGTATGGAAACATTCAACTGGAAGTCTCCAGAAAACACAGTCTCACCTGAAGGGATAAATAAAATCCATCCTCTGGTCCAGTCTGTTCTGCCCAAATCTTAGTTGCTTCTTCCCAAGACATTCCTCTCTCCACGCTTATCTACCACATACATCAGAACAGAAAAGTTCCATATAAGCTTTAAAGCCACACGTTTTAGAGTGTCAATATTAATATCACATATGGAGCATCAAAATTAAATAAGAGAATCAAGAGACTTACAGTGTACAATTCAACATGGCCTGAGGTAGAATATCCTGGCGTTAGAAATTTTTTAACATCTGCCTTCCTTACTTTCTCATCTCCTGAACCCAGATCTTTTTTTGTAAAAAGAAAAAAAAAAGACACAAGATAAATACTGGTTTTGTCAGTGCATGATGGAAAACAACAGAGAAAAAAAACATCAAATGAATTCTAACATGGCTCTGACTGTGAAATAATTAACAGAATATTCTGTCTTGGACTACCCTCTTTCGCTTTAACAGAACACAATACAATCTCTGGTTTCTGGAGAAGGTGGAGCACCCAGGATCCAAAAATCAAATTCAAGATTTTTCTCCAAATGCACAGAGGTACAAGAACGAAGACCCTGAAAGCAGCAACTATCAAGAGAATGGGACGGGGGGAACGTCAGCTGGTTGGCCCTCAGAGAATGGGTCTGGGCGCTGCTTCCTTCTGATATACAGTGCTGACTTGATTCTGGGAAATCTGGATAACAGGCAAGTGCAGAGTATTGCTGGTTGTTTCTATCTGCCTCCTTTATGTCCAAATCTGGCATACTGGTAGGAACAGGAGGAACATTCCTACATGGTGGGATCACTCACGCTTACCTAGAATGCCCATGTCGTATCTTCCATTCTTTTTTGCATTCTGTATGACTGCATTTAGCGTGTCAGAAAAATACTGGAATAAAGCGTTCTGCTGATGCACCTCCATACCCAATATCCGGTTTAGAAACTTGCCGATGTTGTTGTAATCTAAAACAAGGACAGAGCGATTTGAGCCAGAATCTAGAAAGTCAGTGGGTGCTGCTTCTTTTTCACACTTTGAATTGGACAGAAGCAATACCTAATCCTGATCGTTTATCCTAGACCTACTCCTGAACCATAAGGCTATCCATGGTTATATCATGGTGGCTACAGATCACCTCCATACCGAAGTAGAGGTTGCTACGGAACAAGAGCAGATCGGTACTCTTGTCCTTCTGCCCTTTATGGGTTTCCTGCACCTAATGGCATTTTCCAAATTCGCTTGGAAAGAGGACCTTTCCAGGGGGAGATCACATGGTGGGATCACTCACGCTTACCTAGAATGCCCATGTCGTATCTTCCATTCTTTTTTGCATTCTGTATGACTGCATTTAGCGTGTCAGAAAAATACTGGAATAAAGCGTTCTGCTGATGCACCTCCATACCCAATATCCGGTTTAGAAACTTGCCGATGTTGTTGTAATCTAAAACAAGGACAGAGCGATTTGAGCCAGAATCTAGAAAGTCAGTGGGTGCTGCTTCTTTTTCACACTTTGAATTGGACAGAAGCAATACCTAATCCTGATCGTTTATCCTAGACCTACTCCTGAACCATAAGGCTATCCATGGTTATATCATGGTGGCTACAGATCACCTCCATACCGAAGTAGAGGTTGCTACGGAACAAGAGCAGATCGGTACTCTTGTCCTTCTGCCCTTTATGGGTTTCCTGCACCTAATGGCATTTTCCAAATTCGCTTGGAAAGAGGACCTTTCCAGGGGAGGGGTCACGCCCAGGCTGCGTGGCCTAGTTATAAATGGAAAGGCAGAGAAGTTATTGGCTCCTTAATTTCCAGCCACACAACTGTGTCGCCCAGTACGTCGTTTCACTGAACCGCCTTTTCCTCTAAGATTCTTTCCGTGCATCTTATAAGCAGGTACCTCAGCAGCAAACGGAAAGGTGTATAAGCTCTCCCCAGAATCCAAAACCCTGTTCTTCCATCCATGCCCCATTCCAGTTGCTGTGTTCCTTACACCCCCCAAGCTTCTCTTGCATTCATTGGTAAATCCGGAGATGAGAGGGACAGAGAGGATAATTTTTAGGATAATCATTCTCTTCATCAGCGACCTGAAGGCACAACCACCGCAGATCCTTCTGTCTCATCCTGGCACTCTGTTGTTATTTTGTTCTGTTTGTACCCAAACCACTCTTGCTATTGATTTTGAGCTTCATTACATCAAACAGCTCCCACTCACACGAATACTGTACCTTTGTCAAGCGTGAGACTCCCCGATCGATCTTCTACGTTTATTAGGCCCACACCGATTAAACCTTGCCGGACATCTGAGAGGAGGAGAAGGTGGTTGGGGGTCAGTAAGTTTTCATAGGTATCAGCGCCAGTTTTACAAAAATATAATTCAAATGCAAGTTAAAGTACTTTTAATGATAACAGCATTAATATTGAGAGTTCTAAAACAAACACAGAAGTACAAACAGAGGGCAAGATGAATCAACGGCATGACAAGTTCATAACTAGCGTGCCATTACCCAAGAAACCATGTTTTCCTAATCCAATCACTGAGGGAAAATATTTATTTATATATCTATTTACTTATTTATTACTTTAATTTATATACTGCCCCATTAGTGCTGAAGCACTATTCTGGGCAGTTTATGAGCCAATAAAACGAACGGCAAAGAAATTAACTTGGCTGATCTGCAGGGAAAAAAAAATAGTGAATCCACCGAATTGAAGCACAAAATTCAAAACTGATTTGTCTTTTGTTCTAAGTAAGATTTATAATTCAGCATTTAAAGTATACCTTTAAAGAACTCTCCTGGATAATCAGCTGGCGGAGACACTAACGCCGAATCCAAGTTCACAATGGACTTCATAACTATTTCCAGTGCATTTCGGCCATACTATGGAAGGAAAGGGAGGGGGAGAAGATATTGGAAGGAATATAAAAATACCAGAGTCCTTCTTTCAAAAGTAAAACTATATTAGTTCCCTAGAAAATGAAGAGCGTTTTTTCTCCAGCATCAGAATTGGATAAGGTTATGAACTCTACATGAATAGTTGCTTTCTCAAAAGGGAAAAGAAAGTGCTAATTGTTATGCAAACTGTTTTTATTATAAAGAGAAGCATCAGGTTAGGGCAGAATTTTATTCAAATGCAACTGACTTTTACCTTATTGTCAAAATTGAACCTGCTCAGGTCTCTCGTCTCTGTTGCTCTTCGGTCACCATGAGTGAGAGCTCCCTAAATTTAAAAAAAAAGCAGTTTTATAGGTACATGACAAAGAGATCCTGGCCTTTTACAAAAAGAACCTGTTTGTAAAAACCTTTTTTCTAAGAAAGTCACTCTCCAATCATTAGTATTATTTTTACAAAAACTAGCTGCTAAAAGAAAATTAATTGCTTACAAAAATAAACAATTCACGCAATGACTGACGCATCCAACCTTTCTTTGTCGGTATCCTGATTCTAACGGCTGCAACTAATTTTTGCAGCAGAATGGGCCCATTTCTATATTTAGAGCTGTTTTTATTTTGAATTATTCACATTTATTTATCCTTATGCATAATTTCAAATTGCAATGAGCACAATACCTTCAACAGTAAGAACACTTTTTTTTTAAATCAGAAAGGATCAAGTTTCTCTATACAAACCTAACTTCCTGCTTTCTGCCATCTTTTCAAATCAAATGGTGCCACTGAAAAGGCATGCAATTCTATATCAAAATGTGCTCTTGTGCAGTCAAAGTTCTTCACCCGAGATGCACGCATAACCACTTCCTTACCAAGCTCTCCAGTCGTTTGGCAACGATTGAGGCAAATCTTTGTTCTCCTGCCAGTTCGGAAATTAGGAAGACATACTCCGGTGCGGTAACTTGGTTGGATCTATGCGTTCGGCCTGCGCACCAAAACGAAAAACAGATTTGGTTCACACCAGTGCGACCCTAAAACTTGTAGATTTTGCTGGGAAATCAGGGCTTTCTCTCCCAACCTGTTCAGCAATCCCACCAAATTCAAATATAGTTGGAACATACAAAAACAAAACTAAATTAAGTATCTAAAAGCTTTACAATAGATACATCCACTGGGGCCTGGCGACACAGCATCGTTTCTGAGTGAAAACAAAGACGGAATTGCTCACCAAACTGCTGTATGGCCCTGTCCGCACTCCAGGGCAACTCCAGAGTCATGTGCACCCGCCGCCTCTGGTTCTTGGCTCTTCGGTCTGCTTGCAGAGAGATGCCTGAGCTGGCTGCTTCGGAGATGATGGCAATGTTCTTTAAAACGGACAGAGAGGGATGGAAGGGGAATGTGTCATTTAGCAAGAGATCCAAAGCTCAAACCTTCGCTTCATGTGGCTGAGTCAAACCTCTGA